TCAATCGCCATCTTCTATCTTCTTGAAGCCTGTTCCTTTTTTTTGTCCTTTCCTTAATATTTCCAATTTTCAATCTTTTCATTCTCATTCACTTCAACTCCCTGCGTTCTAGTGGCATTAACACCTTTCTTGCAGTGAAATGATTTATATATATATATATATATATATATATATATATATATATATATAGCCGCAAGAGAAAATTTTCCACTGCTAAATAAGGAGAGAACAATACTGGATACCAGATGTTTTCTGGCAAAAAAAATAGATAGATAGATAGATAGAAATAATATATATATACTTAGAGAGCGATTGAGATAGATAGATAGAGAATATAGATAGATAGATAAATAGATAGATGTGTATAATAATATAGATATATAATGTATATGCTGAGATAGATAGATAGATAGATAGATAGATGAATAGATAAATGAACAGATTTAGATAGATAGATAGAAATAATATATATATACTGAGATATATATATATATATAGACAGATAGATAATGTATATATTGAGATAGATAGATAGATAGATAGATAGATAATGAACAGATTGAGATAGATAGATAGATAGAGATAGATAGATAGATAGATAGATAGATAGATAGATAGATAATGAACAGATTGGGATAGATAGATAGATAGATAGATAGATAGATAGATAGTGCAAAGACTGATTTAGATAGATAAAGTGGTGATAAGAGTGTATTTGTGGTATTTATAAACTTGTAAAATATGTCATCTTATAGGTGTATAAAAGTATTTTCTTTCCTGAATTTCATGTGTCCGTAGACATCATGGCTCCTGTGAGCGGCATTGATTTTCGCCTGTCTGGCCAGCCTTGCTCTCTAGACAGGCCTTGTTGTTTGCCAAGTTGTCATGTCTTATCTATTCCTTGATAACAAGCAAAAGAACCTGATCCATTGCTGCCCGCCCCCGCTTCTCCTTGGCCCGAGTCATCGACGAGGTGCCAAAGCGGTCGTCAGAAAACTAGAATGGCTTGAACCACGACCGGAATCAGACCTCAAACACGAGCAGCAAAAATGGCGAAAATGCCTTTCTTCAGCCAGGGAGGTGTTTGTGCGCGTCTCGTCGCCATTTAACAATCTGGAAAAGTGATAGAGAAGGAGTCAATTTTTCAACAACTAATGCTCTGAGGTTCGCTGTTCAACTTTATCGAATATGGAGTCATCTTTGGGGGAAACATTTAATACATGAAAGTGAACTCTAAAGTCAATAGCAAGTGGCACAAAGCCTGTTTCATGCTTAAACGCATACTTTATTGCCAAAAGACAACATATACATACGCTCTATCTCTGATATCGAGCAGTTTAAAACATAAATATTCTTTTTCTTATGTGTGCCGTGTCCCTTCAGGACGTAGGCGATCATGGCTCTCCACAATTTCTTGTCCCTTGTAGCTCTAAATAAATGTTGCCATTTTGCTATATCACCTAACCCTTGTTCTTTGGTCCATTTTCTCAAGCTCATTCTTCTTCTTCTATGTGCTGTCTCTCTTCAGGACGTAAGTGATCATGGCTCTCCACAATTTCCTATCATTTGTAGCTCTTTGTTTTGTCTTTTTGTTATCTCTTCTAAACTTTGTTCCGCTATCCATTTACTCAAGCTCATTCTTCATCTTCTATGTGCCTTGTCCCTTCAGGATATTGGCGATCATGGCTCTCCACATTTTCCTCTTCTTTGTATCTCTTAAAGAATTTTGTCATCTCTCATAAACCTTGTTCCGTTATTCATTTTCTTAAGCTCATTCTTCTTCTATGTGCCGTGTCCCTTCAGAACGTTGGCGATCATGGCTCTCCACAATTTCCTGTCCTTCGTATATCTTAATGCATTTCGTCTTTTTTTTATCTCTTCTAAATCTTGTTCCTTCATCCATTTACTCAAGCTCATTTTTCTTCTATTTACCGTGACCCTTCAGGACATAGACGTTCATGGCTCTCCACAATTTCCTGTCCTTTGTAGCTCTTAATAAACATTATCTATATGTAATTTCTACTAAACCCTGTCCCGCCATCCATTTACTAAGTATGTTATGCTTTGTTTTCTTCTTGCCTTCAATCTGTCCTGTGAGTATCAAAATTTCCACGCCCTCTTTCCTCATTATGTGACCTAGAATTTTTAAATATCTCTTCCTGATTCTAATTATAAGTTTCCTTTTTGTTTCCATTTTCTTTAGAACTATCGTTTCTCACTTGTTCTGTACATGGTATTCTCATTATCCTTCTGTAGAACCAATTACTGCTGGTTTAAGGACCTTTTCTATCTTTGAAGAGATTGTGCAGCATTCACTGCCATATAGGAGGATTGATATTTGCCTTCGCATGAATATAGCATATCTTAAAATTATATTTCTAGAAGTCTTATATTTTTCTAAGAAGATTTATCGAAATATTCAGGTCGGTAGATATAAATGAATACACTGTTTAATAAATAAATAAAAGCAGAGCATCTACTCAAATTGAGTATCCGTTTAAAATATAACATTTAAACGCATAAATTACAAGTCTGTCGGATTTAATCCATGCGTTATAGCAGGCTGGATAACTGGCTGTTGCCATAACATTATTGTTGTGGCCTGTTTAGAGGCCAGAAAGATAGACACGGAAGACGAAGGTCGGTTGAAAAAAGTATATTGAAGATATATACAAAACAATAGTGTTAGTAATAAGTAGATGAGCACTTCGTCTACTACTCAGCTCACTTCACCCTCTTCACCGTACCTTACTCTTGCAGTTTGTATTCATGAGAGAAGGTAGAGTTCATTATACTGTAAGAGGGTGTACCACAACAATTATCAAACCTTCTGATAAGTGCACTTCATATCTTCAAAATTTCAAGAGAAATATATGTCGAACACTGAAATTTATCTGTCTTTATAAATCAGTTTATATAAAATTATATGTAACAGTTTTTTTTCTCGCATTTCTCGCTTCTGGGACTCTCTTCCAGCTTCATGATTTCCAGCCAATTTTAATCTAGAAAAATTTAAATGCAATATCAATCGTTATCTATTGTCCTCCCGATTACTGTTTTCTCTTCCCGCTCATTATTAATGTTTCTGTTCCTAATTTTTCCACACCCTGTAACCCCTTGTGTCTTAGTGGCTTTACTCTCTTACTTGTGGAATTCCCTTCCGGCCCCATGCTTTACAGCCAACTTTAATCTGCAAAAATTTAAATACAATGCCAATCACTATCCACTGTCCTCCTGATTCCACTTTTCTCTTTCCGCTCATTATTAATGTTACTGTTCCTAATTCTTCCACACCCTGTAACCCCCTTGCGTCTTAGTGGCTTTATTGCCTTACTTGTGGAACTAACTTCGGGTTCCATGCTTTCCAGCTAACTTTAATCTGTAAAAATTTAAATGCAATGTCAATCGCTATCTAGTGTCCTCCTGATTACTCTTTTCTCTTCCCGCTCATTATTAATGTTTCTGTTCCTAATTCTTCGACACCCTGTGACCCCTTGTGTTTTGGCGGCTTTACTGTTTTAATTGTGGAACTCCCTTCTGGCGCCAAGCTTTCCCGCCAACTTTAATCTGCTAAAAATTTAAATGCAATGTCAATCGCAATCTACTGTCCTCCTGATTACTCTTTTCTCTTTCTCTTTATTGTTAATTTTCTTTTGTCTTTATCCTCTCTCATTACTCATTTTCTTCTTCTTTCTTTATCTGTCGCCTCTGAGGGCTAAAAGATAATGTGTTATTGTAATTATTTCCAGAGTCACAGACGACTTAAAATTAGGTTAATATTCCAGAATAGTCTGGGGTTTTCTAAATTTTCAAAATATATGTATATTTTTAATAGCCTAGAAGCCTTCCTTCGGGTGAACTTTAGGCTAGCTCCTGCGAAGGGCTTTTGAGCTTTCGGCCTTTTACCTTCAGCGTCTTATGTACGTAAAAGTTATAAGTATTTAGAAATAGTAAAATTATTTTATCTTTATTCGACAACTTAATTCGGCAGAATCTTTCTTCGTATACTCAACCGATCTCCGTAGTTTGTTTACATCATAATTTTTATTTTATTTTAAAATCACAATTCTTTATGATCCCTTCACATAAAGCCATTCTTAAAAGACCTTAGGGAATACGAACTATGTAATATTTCGAATACTTCACAGGATGTGTGCTAGAAAAAGTAATGAAACCTATGAGCAACGTACCGTGCCCCACTTAAGTTTCAAGTGCGGTTTCTTAGACAATATCAATTGCAATTGCAACGAAATTAAAGTTAAATCTTAAATAAAGAATTGTTTTTAAAACTTTCACTCTGTTCGATATTTAAATTTAACTTTAAATGAGTTATTTATTTAGTTTTTAATCGTGTGTAGCTACGGTATTTACCACCGATTACTTCAGATTGTTTATGATTCGCCGAGATCGAAAAAAAGACGGACAGACGGATACACGTACACTGCACTTTATTATTATAAATTTTTCGTTTAAATAATTAGTTATTTTGTTTATTTTATTTTATTTTTATTTAATGCTTAAATAGCAAAGGAAATATTCGTTTATATGTCTTCGCTTGCTCATTATTTTTTTTTGTATATTAGTTGATAATTAGTTTGTTACCCCTTGGTGTTATCTTATAGAAGATTAGATGTATAGCTGTATTTTTTATTTTTTATTTAAATATACATACATATATATATATATATATATATATATATATATATATATATGTGTGTGTGTGTGTGTGTGTGTGTGTGTGTGTGTGTGTGTGTGTGTGTGCACATGAACGCACGGACATATATATATATATATATATATATATTAGAGAGAGAGAGAGAAAAGGGACTATTCAGGCCGGTAGATCAAAATAAATAAATATACTGTTTAATAAATAAATGGACCGTCTCTACTCAAATATGGTTATCCATTAAAATAACATTTAAGCAATAAAATCTGTCGGGTTAATAAATACAAATTCAACCAAATTACTTTACGATTTAATACAAAACCGAGGATTTACGTACGATCACCGAAGTTAAGCAATGTCGAGCCAGGTCAGTACGTAAATGGATAACCGCTTGGGAATACCAGGTGCTGTAAGCTTGGATGTACGGCTGATAGAGCGCCCGCATAAACTTGAAGCATCGATTCCCGTACCATCACGGAAGTTAAGCAACGTCGAGCCTGGTCAGTATCCAGATGGTGACCGCTTTGGAATAGTAGGTGCTCTAAGCCTGGATGTGCCTGTTGTGTAACGGATAAATGGCTCGGAGTTTTTAATCGGAGAACTGAGTTCCAATTCCAGTCGGGTTCGTTATATGTCCTTACACGAAAAACTATTGAAAAATGTATGAATTCACCTCTTCTCTCCCCCAGCTATGGGTTAATCATTAAGATTTACGTCACTAAATCATTATCATCTCAAAAAAATTAAAATAAAATTGTGTAGAAATAATGTTTATATTTCGGCATTCAATAACCAATACAGGCGTTGATATGCGGCTAAAAAACAAAAAAAACTGAGTTGATACGAACGATAGAGGAAATTAATGCGAGAAGGATTTCGCTCGAAGGACCTTTCTGACCTTGGCTGAGACAGTTAAGACACGTCGTCACGAACGATGGTTGCGTTCTGTGCAGAGAAATGCAGGTTCGAATCCTGCCGGAGAGCACATATTTTTCTTTTTATATATATATATATATATATATATATATATATATATATATATATGTGTGTGAAAAGTGTATATAAATAAATATGTAAAATTATTTATATATTATATGCGCGCTACTTATTAGAAAGCGCTCAATATCGGAGAATAGAGCTAACATATTTGGTTGCATAGATGTGAGTTTGTGACCCTGGCTTTCATGCTTTGGCGATCGTCAGACAAACTGATTAATGTTTTAAAAAAATTGAGTTTATGTAGATTGCGTGTATTGGTGTTATTTGAGTGGTGGGGGAAATTTCGTCGTTTTGTCATTCATCGTACTAACGCAAACATCGATGTATGCAGACACATATACATATGGTCGTCCGTCAGGATTCATACATATATAAACATATGTGGGCAGTTTCGGCTATGACATATGTATTTACGGGTGGTGTTATGTCTATACATACGCATTTGTATGTTGAAATGTTGAAATTTAAACATTGGAAGTGTTTTTACCTATCATAATTTTACACAAACCCCACCACACGCATATACATACATGCGAGGAAATATTTTCAGCGGAAAATACATAATATGACATGTATACATTCACGAGACATTTCCGCCACACTTCCAATGTTTAAATTTCAACATATGTTTTATATGGATGAGTCCCGACGGACAACCAAGTATGTATATGTGTCTGCATACATCGATGTTTGCGTTAGTACGATGAATGACAAAAAACGACAGTTTCCCCACCACTTCCAATACACGCAATCTAAACTCAAATTTTTGAAACTTTAATCAGTTTGTCTGACGATCGCAAAAACATTTATCCAAATAAATATATATATATATATTAGTAATTCATCGAACCCAGAAAGCACTGGACGGTCGTTTCGTCCTATTTAGGACTCATCAGCAGTGCACATCTACTACCAAGAATCGAACCCGGACCATCTCGATACAACGCAAGCGTCATACCAACTGTACCACGGGCCTCGGTGACGAAGAAAGCACAAACTAGACTCAATATAACTCCGCTACTCACTCAGTTCCGCAGAGATACTCATCTAAATATTCAGATAACCTCGGAACAGTGCCCCAAGAGCCACGACTGCTTATTGACCCTTAACCGCTCCTCACGAGCATTAGATGAGACAAACAAGGAAATACAGTGAAGAAATGTTTTGGGGATTTAGGCTAATCTTATTGTAATTCGTCGAACCTAGAATAATCCTCAACAGAATGCAGAAAGCACTGGACGGTCGTTTTACCCTATCTGGGACACATCACCAATACGCATCCACGACAGAGAATCGAAACCAGACCTTTTTACGATACAACGCAAACGTCATACCAACTGTACCACAGGCCTCGGTGGCGAAAAATACACAAAACTAGACTCGATATAGCGCAGCTACTCACTCAGAGACCGCAGCGATACTCATCCAAGTATTCAGATAACATCGGAACAGTGCTCCACGACTGCTTTTTGACCCTTTGCCGCTCCATCGCAGAGAATAAGCTGGGCCCAGAAAGATATACAAGTAATTAATTTTGGGGTCTTGAAGAATCCTCCACAGAATGCAGAAAGCACTGGACGACCGTTTCGTCCTATCTGGGACTCATCAGCAGTGCGCATCAATAACCCAGACCGTTTCTATACAATGCAAACGTCATACCAACTGTACCACGGGACGAAGAAGACACAAACTAGACTCGGTATAGCGTGCTACTCACTCTGTTCCGCATCGATACTCATCCAAGTATTCAGATAACCTCGGAACAATGCCCCAAGAGCCACGACTGATTTTTTACCCTTAGCTGATTCATCGTACAGCATTAGCTGCGTCTAGCAAGGATCTACAAGTGATTATTTTGGGGATTTAGGCTAATCATATAGTAAATCGAAGCCGAAGTACCCAAATGATTTACCAAGCGTTGCTTACATGTGGAACAAGGCCGAAATTTGGGGTGAGGGGAAATCAATGAGGATCGAACTGGAATTGATCGAGCGAGATCGTCACCTCGAAGTGTCCACAAGAAATCACCTATTGAGGATCTAAACTGAAGCCAATCGTCGTGGTCAATTCGCTTGTTAACCATTACTCAATGCAGAGAGGCTGAAAACGTTTTATTTTTCATCATCTGAAATGTTCATCTGTGCGGGCTGTTTGGGGAGGAGGGTGTAAAAGGGGAATAGCGGGGGCGGTTGGGCTGGGGGTGTAAAAGGGGAATAAGCGGAGGCGGTTGGGCTGAGGGTAGGGGTTAATGCTGCAAACATCCGGAAATAAAGCCTTTTTGCGCGTATATGCACATCCCCTAAATCTCATTCCCTCTCTTATTGACGATTATAATATTTCTTTTTTTTTAATATTTTTCGTTGCTGTCGGTTATCACAAAAACGACAACAGAAATAAAACAATTCGCCTCCCCACGCCCCCCCCCAACACCGGAATCAATAAATGAAAACCCTAAAAAGATAATTAAAAAACAAAACAAACAAAAAAAGATCTTCATGGAAATGGTTATAAAAAAAATGGCGGATTTCAAGCGTATAATATGAAAGGTGTATTTGCATATTCTCTTACTGAATGCTTGGGTGGTCGCGTTTTTAACTGAACGAATTAATCCGTGCGTGCTTGCATGTGCCCGTGCCGGTGCGTGAAAAGGCGGAAGTGTAGCTGCCTCAATACATTCGTTGTTATGTGAATATAAGCGTATATATAAATATACCTCCGTCTTTGTATAGTCTCTGTGTAAGCGAGAAAGGTTGATAATGATGATGTTGTGTCTGCATCTGACGAAGAAGCACTGACTCATATATATATATATATATATATATATATATATATATGAGGTATTCGGGAACTTACTGTGCACTTTTCTGATAACACTTTTTAATATTTCAAATTTCACTCCAATATAGTTTTAACGACTGAATAACGTTTATTTCTCGTCGAACACGTATTTCGAGAACGTGGTAGATACATAGATTTTCGAGAACGTGGTAGATACACAGATTTTCGAGAACGTGGTAAATACACAGATTTTCGAGAACGTGGTAAATACACAGATTTTTGAGAACGTGCTCGACAGATTTTCGAGAACGTGGTAGATACACAGATTTTCGAGAATGTGGTAGATACACAGATTTTCGAGAATGTGGTAAATACACAAATTTTCGAGAACGTGGTAGATACACAGATTTTCGAGAACGTGGTAGATACACAAATTTTCGAGAATGTGGTAGATACAAAAATTTTCGAGAAAGTGGTAGATACGCAAATTTTCGAGAACGTGGTAGATACACAGATTTTCGAGAATGTGGTAGAATACACAGATTTGGTGCGACAGCGTTTTGCTGATAAATTTTCAAATGTGCCTGTTCCACATCCCAATGCAGTTGGTAGATTTGTTTAAAATCTTTGCAGACCGCATTATTACTAAAGACGTGTCCCCGTTCTCCTGCCACGCTGGCCAGATGTAAGTTCACCAGACTTTTATCTATGGGGAACATTAAAATCTGCAGTGTATCGAGAATTGTCAGCGCACATTGGATGACTTAAAAGCAATGGCAACAGCGTTCATTCAGTCTATTTCAAGCGAGCAACCAATACCGCCTTCAAAATCAAAATAAGAATGACCCGTGCTTGTAGAACAAGACAATATCCAATATTTTTGCTTAGTACCGTTTGCTAACTTTCCCAGCAGATTTGTCCCCAGACAAAAATTCTTTCGGAATGTTACTGGACACTTTTTTAATCATATTTTTAATATTTCAGCTTTCACCCCAATATGGTTTTAACAACTGAAGAATGTCTATTTCTCGTCGAACAAGTATTTCAAGAACGTGGTAGATAAACAGAATTGTTAATAAATTTTCAAAAGCGACTGTTCCATATCCCGGTTCTGTTGGGAGATTTTATTGAAATTTTTTAAAACCATCAGGTCATCCCATAATTTCTGTCTGAATTTTAACTTTTTGTTTAAATGAACGAAATTTAAAGAGTATTTTATAATGTCTAATGGAGCTGAACATTATTTTTATGTTTAGATGCATTTAAACTGATCAAATTTTATTTCAGAGAACAATAAAATTAAATTTTGTTTGGTTAAAACCCTGCTGACATGGAAGTACCCAAGAATCATTTGAGGCACATAATGATTTATGAGTTCAAGAAAGGAAACTCAGCAGCCGAAGCGGCTAGAAACATTCACTAAGTTTATGGAGAGGAATGTGTGAATGAAAGAACTTGCAGAAGATGGTTTGCAAAATTCAGAGGTGGAGATTTCACCCTTAAAGATGAAGATCGAACAGGACGTCCAGTTGAGTTTGATGAAAAGCTTCTTGAAGCAGCCCTTGAAGAAAATCCTGCTTTATCAGTTGAGGAATTGGCAGTGGTTCTCAGTTCAAACCATACAACTGTTCATCGTC